TTAGATGTGGAAATTCATCCAGGTTGCCTGTTTTGAAACTAGTCAAGTTTTCCACCTGCTACACCTTAAAGGAATCCACAAAAGTCTTCTGGCTAGTTTTTCAGGATTCTACTATGTAGTCTTCAGATGAGGAAATTCACCTATGTCTCCTATTCAGAGATTTGATTAACAAGGAATTTCCTCTTCTGTCTCTCAAGAACAAAAACCCATTAAGTAGTAGATAAGGTTTAAGGGACTTCTATCTTAGTTGCTCTCCACTATAGTAATATTAGTCATAAACTTCGTGTACCTATGTACCTGTTTTTAACTTTGATTGATTTTGGAGTGTTATATCTCAGCTAAAGGGCAATACCATCCTAAACTGTTCTTAGAAAAAAAAAAGATGATTGTAATCTCTCAGCCCAGTTCGTGTGCTGATGTCATCCCACTGCTTGCTCCTAATGTATAAAATAAACCTCTGCTGAAGGCAGAGCAGGAAGACTTGCACCCAACTCTGACTCCCATGTCTTCCTCGCCCCCCTTTCCCTTTTTTCTCCTTCTCCCCTTTTTTTAGGAATCTCCACTTGCCGACGCCTTCCCACCTTAGGGTCCGTCCTGCCTGTCTTAACCTCCAGACACTTCAATAATTGGAGCTGGTCTCCGACACATTTACTCAACAAACATTTATTAAGCACCTACTATGTGCCAGACACAAGCATGTAGATAGATGGACAGTCTGATAAAGAAGGGAGGGATGTTAGCAAAAGGTAACAAATACCAAACTGGGAAAAAGTTGTTTGGGACAAACACAGTAAAAAGGAACTAACCACATGTGTAGGGGAGTGTCCACTTTTAGAGATGAACTTCTGACAATTCTTTCTTTAAAAACAAAACAAAACTGGGCCCTCCCAGGTGGAGCAGCAGGTTAAAAGCACAGCACTAAGAAGCTAAAGCCACTTCAGCATGAGTTCGATCCCCGCCCCTGAGGTGATCCACATGGCACCTCAGACCTCTCCTGACCTGCCTGCTGCTCCCCTCAGCAATATACTTCAGTCGCCCTGTTCTGCTCCCCACTCTGTCTCTGGTGAATCCTATCACTACCCCTGTACCTCTGGCCTGTACCCCAGTTTTGTGTGCAAAAATAAATAAATCTTTTAAACAACAACAACTAGTTGTTTTATCTTTTGAGAAAGGTAACAATTTCACTTATTTAATGGGAGGGAATGATTTTCATTTCTGAAATTGCCTCACTATTTGTAAAAAGTGTAAAGTAGCTTCTCTGATCATCTAGTAAGGTGACTTAGAAAATTTTTATTTCATTAGAACTAAGACAATGATGTAGTTCTAAACAAGTGAGCTTGAAAAAGATGAGCTATTGCTGCCAATAGTTGTGCTTCCTTTACTATTAATAAATCTCTTTTTCACTGTAGTTAAAATGACAATCATCTACTGGGAAATTATGTGTCAGGTTCTTGTTCATGTATTTTCTCATTTAATCCTCACAAAGGCCCATGGAATAAACAGTGAGGAACCCCAGTCTTACAGACTAGGTGACTAACTGGAAGAAAGTAACTGTCCATCATCTAAAACTAGCGGTAGCATTAGGGAAAAACCTTGCACCAATCTTCAGAAGAGCTACATGTGATCCATCACCAGATGCTTGCTGACTTGAATAAAGTTAAACAGTTTTGTATTATGTGTTAATTATAATCATTTTGATATTTTGCAATGGTTAATGGGCAATTAATCATAAATTTTTTGTTATCAACGTGAATGAAAAAATTTTAAGGTGTATTTGAATACTATTTTAATCATCTCTAAATGGTACCAGAAATTAAAAAGTTACAACAAAGAGTTTTTGGAATTGAACCAAATGGTTCAAGTATGCTTTTTTTTTGACTTGGTACTCCAGATAAAATTCTTCCTAAGGATCTGACTTTTCAAAGGATTTAGAAGTTGTTTGACTAGGTGCATTAAGAAATGAGAGAAACAAACTAGTAATTGAGAGTATTATGGAGATGGAATTAACAGCAGCTATCTCTTCTTGCGAAGAGTATTTGAGGAAATTACTCCCCCTTCGACACTGAGGCAGTCAGTACAAGATGCATAAGCTTATATCTTGATAGCACATTTTAGCAGACTTAGAGGACAAATGAAATTTGCCTTCTCATGTCATCAAATGAATGTTTTGTTTTTTTAAAAAAAATGAAAGGTAATGGGGCCCTCCCTGCTGGCGCAATGGGTTAGGATGCAACACTGAAAGCTAGCAGCAGCCGCTTTAGTGCGAGTTGGATACTCTGCTCCGAGGTGACCCACATGGGGCGGCAGACCTCTCCTGATCCGCCCGCTGCTCCCCTCAGCAGTGTACTGCATTGATCTGCCTGTTCTGCTCCCCACTCTGTCTCTGGTAAAACCTCTCACCGCCCCTGCACCTCTGGCTTGTACCCCAGTTCTGTATGAATAAATAAATGAATCTTAAAAAAAAAAAAATGAAAGGGAATGAATTAGAACATATGCAATGTCAAAATCTCTTTCTTCTTGGCAATTGGGAGGATTTCCTTTTATACCATTAGAAAAAACTTTCTTCATAAGAAAAAACTTTGCACAGAGTTCTCCACTTGTCATTTTTGTTTCTGGTTATCTAATTTTTTTAAAGTCAGATTAAATTATTTTGATTTTGTATCCTATGAAAAATTCGATATCAAATTTAAGAGGAAGCCTTCAGGAAAATAATAAAGCAACTCATGCATGAGACTAAGAACATATTTTCAAAGTAGAGCCCCTTTATTAAGGTAGACAAGGAACATTTGAGAATGATTTGCATTACACCTTTGACTTATTTTGGCCTGGAGAACATGGAGAACAAAAATAGAAATTTAATAAAAATTGAAATGTGTTTTACAGAAATAAGAATTTTGAACAATTTTCTGTGGCTGACAGAAGTTCATTCTGCTTATCTGTACAATATAAGAATTTGAGATGCAAATCACTAATTTTATCATCTGACTGAAAATTAAAAAAAAAATGAGAATTTTCATTACTCTCCTACTGGACACTCCTACTTGAACATAATTTCTTATGTTAAAGAAATTAACATAAGGAATGATTCCAGTATTTCAATTAATAGAAGTTATCCTTAATGATCATCTACTGGGCCATATGATTTTTTTTTTTTTTGCTTTGTAAAAAAACAACTGAAATTATGGCTTGACAGTGGTTTCTCTGAAGGATTGAAGAATATAAATGTTATAAAGTTAAAGGATAAATTATTGGATAAAATGTAACAAGAATTTGGTACTTGGAGCAATTTTAAAGTATGAATAATAAATTGCTGATTTTGTACATAAATCATCATGATCCTATTACAGCATTAACTTCCATAAACAAAACAGATCTGGTAGTTTTATTACTTGAAAGTTTTTAGTAGCTTTCTAAGAACATGAATTTACAATTAAAATGAAGTAGACTATCAAGACATTAAAAAAATGAATAGTGTATGCAAATAATTTGGGTAACTCTCATACCTTGCCCCAGAAATTCCTTTCCTATTAATTTCAAAGTCTAATGAGAATGGAAGTCAGGAGCGTAAGTTTTACATGCTGAGGAAACTTAAATCTGACTTATAGGTTCCCTAGGAATAATTTGTAAAATTTCAGTCCACTTTAAAAAAGTATTACTCATCCTAGGTGAAGTTACCAATTTTTACATATTTAATTATATGCCAGTTATTTGTCCAACACTAACCTAAAATTACAGCTAAAATTTGTTTCACATTGCATTTAAAAATATTGTTAATAATGGCTGGGTATTACTATTTGGGCTGAATTGAATTCTGTGACTAGATGTTATTCCTCATTAGCTCTCTATATACAATAGCTCAATAGTCTTTGGGTATCAGCTTTGATTCTGCTATATACATTAAAGGAAACTGCTGAGTCAGCAGCTTGCATAGTAAAATGTATGCTTATATAATTCTTATTCATGAATTCATTGCACTTACTCAGTGAAAAACATAAAGCTGTTATAAACAAAGAAAACGGAAAAAGATGTCTCAAACAGTTAAACATTGTCAACTTCGGAATTCCATTTGTGTGGTCCTAATGCATACAGGAAAATACTTCTAGTCAGACTTATAGTATCACTTGACCTTCACGAGTCATACTTTTCAATAGTGGATGCAGTTTTTTCAGACTACACTTTTGACCTTGAAGATATAACTTGATGTTTTATGTCTCTTCATAAACTTATAATGCCTCTGATTTCCAAGCTGAGTTCATCTATATTAATGCTATCATATATTCAAACTGTTAAATCCTGCAGTTCTTATTTTAATTATTCAGTGCCCAAGGGGAGAGAGAAATTGCAGCTCCTTTAGAGCAGTCTTTTTCTTACTGCATTAAGTCTCTTAGCTTTCTTAATGCAGGATGTCCCTCATCTGAAGCTGGGACAGGAAATAGCTGCAGTGTGCTGCAGCCTCAAACCTTGCTGCACGCTCAGCTTTAGGATTCAGCTGACCTGAGCAGAGAGATACAGGGACAATGTCTTAGTCTGTGGGAACTAAAGCTTTACAGAAGGGGATTAGAATAGGGTGAGTTACTTATTGCTGAAACTTAACTTGTCTGCCTTCATTTTCACATTGTATTTAATGATTACTCTTACAGAATAACCTCACAACATAAGTTTTACTTCCTACTTGTCCGCCACCCACCTTTGCCTTGCGTTTAAATAAACTTTATGCCCGTCAGTCTACTTACAAGATAGCAGCTGTACTGAAAAACCTTGAGCCACAACTCCCTGCAATTGGACAGCCTTAAGTCATTTCCCTTTAATTCTCCCCAATTCTTCACTTTTATGTAATGCAATAGCATTCAAAACCCAGGGAGCTTATTCACCAATTAGCAGAAGGGAAAAGAAAAAAAGTCAGTGCATCAGCACTAAAATCAAAATGTACTGAACAAGCATCTCAACTGTAAGTAACTTAAAATCAATTTGACTTTCATAAAAAAACTGGGTTTTCTTACCTTGGATGTGAAGAACTCTTTCATGATCTAGAGTATAGTTGTCTGAATGATGGTCGGCCCAGCAGATTGAAATCAGCACCAGAAGAAGTAAACTCTTCATCTTTAAAGCGAAAGGATCTTCTTCACTGTGAGAGCATCACATACAAAGAGGATTGTAAGATTTGGAAGCTTTTAGAGTGTTGCACTGCACAACTTATTACTGCCTTATCATCATAGAATGGGTCTGAAAGAATATTTAACCCAATCTGTTCAGAAAGTTACTGTAGCTGTCTTTGAGAGCTGAAGACTGCAGCTTTGAACAATTACAGTTTCTCTTATGTAGCCAGAATTCACATAGTATTTAACTCTATCTTTGCAGGATAGTAAATCTAGAAATTCAAAACAGTATAATAGTTGTTATACAGAGAGTTATAGCAAGTTGCAAAGTGATGTGGCAAAAGTGTAATAGGCTTAAATAAAAACCTCAGAATTTGATGTATAAGTTAATAAAACAATGCGTTGATATGATTATGCTTGAATATTTATCACCTAGTCTAAGTAGGAACTGAATCTTAAACCAGGGCAAATAAACAATATTTGCATGAAACTTGACATTGTCATTCATTTTATGTGTAGTTTCCTAAGGAGGTTAAATTTGCTTGTTCTAAAATAGAAAAGAGGACAAAAGAAAATGTCTGATTAAGTGGAAGCAGCATAGTTGTCACAGATTTACTTACCATCTTAAACACTGCTTGGGTCTACGGTGAAGAGTTGAAATTTATGGACAAACTAGGTTAGAATTGTGCATGCTACCACTGCAGTCCTCCTGATTGATTTTTCATTCATTTCTCTCTAAAATGCTGATGCAACAACTTCAAAGTGCCAGGTAGGGTCTCTGCAGTCAGCACCGCCAGGACTGAAGCTAACATTCCTGCCAGCCTAGCAGGGTAATTAGGCAAATGAAGAGCCAAAATCGGCAGGGAGGCACCGCTCAGGTCCCTGTGACAGGCAGAGCCATCGCTTGACTGTCCTCTATTCAGTACTGATATGCTAAAAGCGGACACAATACCCCTAAACTTTGTCATTGGAAGGAGCCAAAACTGACTCCAAGTGATACCACCCTTTCTGCCCTTTGCAGTATTTGCCAGGCAAGAATTACAGTGTTGCTTCTCTGGTTTTATGTGGAAGCGGAGGCAGATATTAACAAGGGCTTCTCTCATGCACACTGCAGCCTTAACAGTACATGGCTATTTTTAAAACTGAAATTGCACATTACTGGCTTCTCACACTAATTTGCTTTTTCCAGGAAAGCTTGACTCCCTGGAATACTTATTAAAGAGCCCAGCGTCTGTTCCTGGAGGTCTTTGTAGGCCAGCACTGTTCACACACTCCCCATGGCTCTCCTGGGGCAGACACACCTCTGCAGTTCTCCTCTAAACATTGGCATGGCTGTGATGCTTATGGCTTCGGTCTTTCATATTTGCTTTAACCCTTTATTTTTCTTCATTATGTCACAGAAAGATGGTAGACGAACAAACTGAGAGACTTATTTTTCTACGCAACTGAACGTGTTACCTTCAAAATTCTACCTGACTTACCAATCTTACTTTTAGAAGTCTCTTGCTTGAGCCTCTGAGAATTTTTTGGAAATATTTCATTTTTGGAAACTTCCGACTCTTATCCATAGGAATACTATTGACTTGTGTTACCTATTTTCAGCCCAGAGCTACATTTTGGGTGAACAAATACAATAATATGATGTTTTAGAATCTGGGATATAATTTGGACAATTATCCATACAAACATAAAACCGTGAACAAACCAGCAAAGAGGTGTGTCGGAAGCTCGCTAGCTGCCCAGTAATGGGGTGAGGGAGGGAAGTGGGAGGGTGTGAGGACAGCATACAGTTGTGTCTATTAAAGAAACGCATGTCGACATTCTTAGTAAGAGTTCAAGATGAGCAGAGATTTTGCTACATTAATTTTCATGTGTGTGGTCAATACTGCACAATTTATAAGGAGCTGTATACACACACACACACACACACACACACACACACAGGGTTGTTCATTCTACCACTGTAGCCAGTCACCCTCATTTTTATTTATTTACCTAAAATATATTGCATGCAAATCTATGTATCTCCTTTAATTCCACATCGTACTATTAAATACTATGCCATTTAGGGTTCATTCCATTGAGTTAACTTTGGGGACAGAGACTTCAGCAAACAGCCAGAACAACATGAGGCACAGAAAATGGACCAAGGTCCTTGAGGCCCAGAGGCCCAGGGCTGTGAGTGGCCCCTCGGAGAAGGAAGCTTGTATGCAGCATGTGCTCATGGGAGTGAAAATAAGTCCAGCCTATTTGCATTGTGTGGTGATGTCTAGTGAATACCCAGTTATGTTGGTGAAGGGTTTTATTTTCTGACATGAGTAAAATTTAGGAAATTTGGGAGAATTTTACACCAGTCTTGAGTTAATACTCTTAATTCACCAGCCACTCACACATCGCTGAACTCTTTGGATAGCCCACCTCCCCCGCTGCCATGATATTTCAGCCAGCTTTGAAATGAGTTAAATTGAAAGGTCTGTGTTCATGTTTAAAGACATCTAATAGACTGAAATTTGATGGTTCGGCTTTGCTGATAATTGAACCGTTGTATGGAAGCAAGGTACTCCAGACAAAGCAAAAGTCAAATAGGTATAAATGAAAATATACTAGTTGTTCAACATCAAACTGGCCAGTTGTTGTTCCTTAAACACTTACGATATTAAAATTATTGTACTAGGGAAATAAGAACAAATTTAAGACTTGCGTGCTATTCTCTGTGCCAAGGATCGAACTTGTGCTGCAGTAGCTGTGGATAGCTTCCTAGTGCTGTGACAAACTCCTTGTGCCACCAGGGAGGCCCAGAATTGAATAAATTTAACCTAATGCAAAAGCATATCCTTTGCAGTCCTTATTTTATTTAACTTTGTTTTACTTTATTGAAGCACTAACCAACTTTTGGGAAATACGCGTCACAGACTGGACTCTCTTCTGCTTATAACCCAAACAGACTTAAAAGATAACAAGAAAGAGAAGATTCAATCTGTTTTAAAGTAGTTGTGTCAAATGAGCTTTTTGGAGAAGTGAAAAAGCATTTCCGATGCCCTGAAGGTAGTGCAGCCAGAGGCATCAGTGACCTCAACTGGCCATGGTCATTCTCCTGCTTTGTTGACTTTCCTATCATCCTATTGTTACAGGGTAGCCCAGAGTGGACTGGGCCGCCTGTCTGTGGGGCTTCACCCACGCGCTCAAAACTCAGTTACACTGCAGGTACACACAAAAGGGTCAACAATGGGTTTATTTACAAAAAAGGGAAAGGAACAGGAAACAACCCAGGGAAAGAGAGCAGGATTCAAAGTAAGTGGAATACCTTATGGCTAGGCTGACTGAAGGCACCAAGTCACGCAGTCCGGAGAGCTGGTTCCTGAGCGAGAGAGGCAGAGCGCAGGAGATGCAATCGTGCCCTATTTATCCCCTCAAATGTCCCAGAATTCCTTCCTGCTAGCTCCGCCCTTGGGTCCTCGCAGTTCTCTCCCTAGTACTGCTGGGAGTTGTAGTTTCCAATCACTGGAGTACAGTATAGGGTACAGAAAGCTGGAGTAACGGGTGGAGTCCACAAGACTCTGCAGAGTTCCTTTAGGACATCCTTCCCCTTAACACTATGGCAAGCAAAGTCTTAGACCAGAAGGAAGACGAGTTCTATTTCAGGTCACAGAACTAGTATATCAGGTCTCAATTTCACCTGCAAAATGGTAATACAGCAATAAATCCCCACAGGGTGAGATGCATTTCTGAAAAGGATAAGACCAATACAAGGTATTGTTCTCAGACTGGCATGGTCCATCTCAAACCCAAGCAAATTTATGGATAAATGTAAGAAAAAAGAGCAAACTGAAGATATCTCCATGGAGGATGGGAACAGGTTCTAAAAGTTCACTCTTTGGGATGGCTGCTGGAGTGAAAGGTAAGTGTGGGGTCTAAACAATCAAAAGCAGCACCTGGGAGTTTGTTGCACAAACACATTCTAAGCATCCTAATGAAAACTTCCTGAGTCAAAACTTCCAGCGTCACAAGCCCCGCCCCCATCCCGTGACCCCGTCTCAGGCTTCCGTTGGAGAACCGCTGGTCTTGGCTGTTAAGATTACCAGGTGTTCTTCATTCTGTGGTTGCTCTCCAGACTCCACAGATGCCTAGAAAAAAATGCTAATGCCTACGTTCATTTCTCCTCTCTTCTCCCTTTTCTCTCCCCCACACCTTACATTGTACATGTATTTTTTTTAAATAAAAACACTGGACAGGAATACACATACTTTTCTCTTACAAACTCTTTGTTAGGTTGCTGTTTATGCAAAATTTCAAGGCAAAAAACTATATAATTCAATTTGGAAAGATTCCCATTCCAAAATGGCTAATAATCTAAAATATGTACTTGGCACTAAAAGAGGATTACTTGCCACGATTTATTTTTTTTTTTAGAATGGGATGGCTGTTATTTTACTGAAATAGTCTTGTAAACGCTCTGAGTCTTTCTCTGGACCTTTGGCAATGAGAGCAGGTCTACATCAGCCTTGAGCCCTGAGCCCTTCTCCACAGTCCACGTGGTCCCCCTGACTGGCTCATTGCAAAAGGAGAAAAGTAGCTAGAAATAGAGTAAAAAATAAAAAAGGGGTATAGAAGGAATATGAAGGGCAATGAGAAAAGAGGAAGAAAAGGCCGTTCAAAAATAAGGACAATAAAAAAGAAGCACAGAATAGCAACAAGGATATTTGGCATACTATCTTGTTTAAGTTGCAGGAAATGAAAATGCCACATGAAATGAATGTAGTGTTGCAGTTCCCTGAAGCAAGAATGTCTTAAGATGGCTTCTCAAAGAAAAAGATGTGTTCTTCAGTGCAAGTGTAATGTTTTTCTTGCAAAGGTTACAGAATATGGAGGAAGGAGTCCAGTGCTGGAAAGAGAAATGAGCAAGTGGTCTGTGGATTTCCCAGTTGTTTATCTGAGTGATATATATATATAAATATATCTATATATATGTATATGAACACATATTTCAAATAAATACTTACTTGACTCATCAATGCTTGTGATTATT